GCTGGGCAGGGGCCCCTCAGAGTGCTGCTGCACTCGGGTCCTGGCAGTGCTGGCAGCTCTGCAGGGAGGGACACTGTGAGCCAGAGCACAGAGGTGCCTTCCCTGCTGCTGATCACTGAGGGGACATTGGTTCTGCTGATCACTGAGGGGACATTGGTGCTGCTGATCACCGAGGGGACATTGGTGCTGCTGATCACTGAGGGGACATTGGTGCTGGTGATCACCTGAGGGGACATTGGTGCTGCTGATCACATGAGGGGACATTGGTGCTGCTGATCACATGAGGGGACATTGGTGCTGCTGATCACTGAGGGGACATTGGTGCTGGTGATCACCTGAGGGGACATTGGTGCTGGTGATCACCTGAGGGGACATTGGTGCTGCTGATCACTGAGGGGACATTGGTGCTGGTGATCACCTGAGGGGACATTGGTGCTGCTGATCACTGAGGGGACATTGGTGCTGCTGATCACCTGAGGGGACATTGGTGCTGCTGATCACTGAGGGGACATTGGTGCTGCTGATCACTGAGAGGACATTGGCACTGGTGATCACTGAGGGGACAGTGGTGCTGGGCTTGGAGGGTGCCGTGGAGCTGCTGCACTGACTCAGCACCTGCTGCATGCATAGGTCCACTCTGAAGGGAAACTATATAAATCTAGGTATCAGAAAATGTTTTGACAGTGCATAAAGATGTTTCTCCCTTCACTGCCTTTTACTTTTTTGTTTTGTTTTGTTTTTTGGTAAGAAATCAAGGCAGCTCTCAGTAGATTTATGTCCTTTGAAAATCTGCCCCCATCTGCTGTAGCAGAAATGATGTTCTGAAATACGATGCTGAATGTATTATTGGAAAAACAAAGGTTACATAATCTGTCTAAAATCCCTTCTGAAATGGATTTTCTCAGAGTAGGTCAAATAATGTTAAGGAGTTTTATAAATGTATTTGAAACATAGATTTTTTTTTTTTCCTGCAGTAACATCAGGCAGATGATTGTAAAAGTCTGTACTATCTTGTGGGAGATAATTAAGGTGATGAAGGTTAAAAGTGTGGTAGACAGAAATCCTGCACAAATGGGAGTGTTTTACTCAAACTCAATTGGTTGTTATTTAGAACTTTAATTAAGGCTAGCAGTGATGCTGAGGCCTGTGTGAAAGCTCTCTGGAGGCCCAGGAGAATTCCTGCTGCCACTCTCCTGTGCTCTGCTGCCCCATTTGAGTGCAGTGAGTAGGGCTGGCACATTAGTGAAGGGGAACTGGCACTGCTGAAAGGGATTTTCCTGCTCTACCCTTGTGTTGTAGCTGTGACAAAAATTCAGGCTTCCACTCAGAGTTTTCCAAGTTTGCAGGAACTTGCCTTATTTTCCTGGACTGCTACTCAGCTGCTTTCTGACAAGTATCAGAGCCCTGAATGAGGGGGTTTATTTTTAGTTTTTAATGGGTATGGAAAGCTTCTGAAATTGAACTCGTGAGGGAAGGACCTCAGGAAGAGGAAGAATGGCAGACTCCTTAAAACACAGACGGAGGTTTCTGAGGAATTTGTGCCAATTAAAATAAGACTGTGAAACAAAATATCTTTAATAATAGGACAGAATAAAGTTGCAGCTTGTGAAAGTTCCTCATGTTTCACAATGTTAGGTTATGGCAGTTACTGTGTATTAATGCAACAAATCAATGGCACCAAATTGAAAGTAACGGGTGTGTCAATTGTGAAAAACAAGGGGAAAAGATTCATTATCCAACTCCCTACACCCTGCCTTGGACCTTAGAAATCTATGGTTTTCACAGGGAAGATTTTTTGTTGAAAAGGAGATAAAAACATTTTTTAAAAAATGCATAATGTGAAACATTCAGGTTTAAGTTTGCTTTGTAAATCCTTAGAGAGTAGTTAATCTGTAGTAAAATCTTGCAGCAGAGAGTGGAACAACCCTATACCTTCCCATTTGGTATTTCCTCTGTTATTTGATATGCAAGCCTAGTTCATAACATAATCATTTAAAACATAAGACTAGGGAGATTTTCTGGATTTGCAGACTAAATTTGTTTCCAGCTCTTGTTTGAAAAGCAGAAAAGCAAACTAGATTGTCAAATGAAAATTAGTTATCAATAAGAAAAGTATTTGCAGAGTATATGCATAAGTTCTCTCTGCTTACTGTAATTTGGCACACTTGGAATGGGAACAGCCACAGAATTGATTTTTGTAGGTTTGAGTGGGAGCCAGGGTGTGGGGCTCAGCTCACCTGTGAGTGGCCTGTCTGAAATGGGTGTAGTTTAGCTGTAGTTTAGTTGTAGTTTATGTGAACAGGAAAATGTTCACTACTAGCACAATTTACATTATTCTTGTAGTTTCAAGAATTTACCAGTTTACCTTGAAAAGGACTCCTTAGCCATGAAATTGGTTTGCTGAGGAGGTGAATCTGTTTTACATACCTGCTTGAAGGTGGAAAATTTTGTTGTGCATCACCAACAGAAAAGGTTCATTATGTTACTTCTAGGCATAATTTAAGAGATGCTTAATTACTTGATCTTACAGATGGAGGAAGAAATCTGAGTTTCCAGTTTTTCCAAAATTGTACTTTGTTAGAAAAACTGCTTCTGAAGAGATGAATCACTTCTTTAGTTCCCTAGGTATTCCATTTCAGCAAAGCTTTGCTACTCTATTTGAACATCTTGTGAAAGAACTCAACTTGCTGATAGGAAAAGTGGTTTTCTATTCTGTATCAGTGAAATAAGTGTAACATGACTACGTGTTTCACACAAGTAACCAGTGTTCCTCCCTGCAAGTGAGCAAAGAGCAGTTTGCTACCAATGGCATTTTCAGTCCCTGGGCTCTCTCAGGAAGATGAGTGACTGTGTTGGTTGGTCCTGTTGTTAATAGTGGTGTTGGCATCTGCTGTTCTGCAGCTGAACTATTGGAAGTGAACCCTGACACTGTTACCAATGGCAGCTAAATCAAGTTAATGGTCAGTTTTTTGTCTCATTACCAGTTTTTTGACTCGTTCTTAGTCAATAAAATCTTTAAAATGTTCTAATGCAGAGTTATATTCATTCACAAGGAATGTGGTGCTCATTGTGGAAGTAATACACAGTTTCTCCTAATTACATTGTGTGTTAAAAATAAAATCTGAAATAGCAATCAAATGCATCTTTTTCTATCATACATTGCATATTTATTTGTGGGTTTCTTTGCATGTAAAATATAATTGCTTTGTTTAAATTCTGTTGTGTACATATCTTTCAGTAAGCTGCACATAGGTTTTTCTTCTTTGTTAATGGTCTATACACAGAATGCTAAATGCATTTTAACAGAAAACAAAAGGGAAGATCAAGAAATAATTAAGCAACAAAGGAACAGTCAACACGAGACTTTATCTCATTGGCATGTTTCTGTTTTTTAAATGTCAATAGTTTGATGCTGCTTAGGACAGTGAAATACCCGATACTTTCCTGCTTCAGTAGATGAAAGAGCAAACTCTAAGGGCATAAATGGAATTTATCCTGTGATTTGTGAATGACATGCATACTGTCTCTGAATAAGTGACATAAGAATCTACATATCACTATTTAGTAAGAGCTTTCAGAATTTAGCAGTGTAACTTTCAGGATGGTGAACATTAGTTACTGGAAATTCATATCATTAAAAAGCAACATTGAATGGACATAAGCTTCTATGGCCACCTCTCCTAAAATTTAAAACTTTCAGGTGAAACAGGCTGGGCAATAACTCGTGGTAGTTACAGTTACTTACTGAGGACTTACCTGAATCTTTTGAAATTACTTGTCAAAATAATTTCCATTCTTCTACTTCACTGTGCTGTCAGACACTGTCAGTTTGTTATATGGAAGAGTTCCAGGATGTGCTGTGCAGTCACTTTACTCCCAGTGCCACAGCCCTCAGAGTTTTCCTGGCCTTGTCCTTTCAGCCAGTGTAAGATCCACCTGGCTGACAGCTTGAATGAGAAACCTGGAGAGCAAAACAAAGGCTGAAATAGGACTGCTGTCCTATTTTTATTGAAATTATCCATCCTCAGAGCTACTAATTAGTGTGAAAAAAGATGAATAAAATGAAAACTGGAAAATTTATGGACAGGGAGAAGACAGGAAAAGTGAGAAAGCTAACAAAAAGCTGTAAACCAAGAGATTTCTTTGTTAGCTAATCCTTTCATTTTTGACTGTAAGGACAAGGTACTACTTGTAGTGTTTTCAGAAGTATGAAACTGTAAGGCAATTTGCTACAGCTGAATTACAAGTAAAAATAATTGACATTGAATGAATGAACTTCCATGACTGTCATTGTCATTTCCTGTGCTCTAAGAGCCTAAATGTGGGATATGGGACTCCAGGCAGCTCTTCAAATGCAGTTTATTCCATCCAAGAGGTTACAGCAGTCCAGGGTCAGGATGACAGAGCTGTGCCTACAGCTGTCAGCTCCAGCTGCAGGCAGGCCTGGAGACCCTTTGGTTTTGGTTACATTGCAGTCTATACTTTGCTGAGCATCTTAATACAGTAGAACCAATCTATACCTTAACTTTTATCTATAGGCTCTCATAACTACTATAATTACCATATTCATGTTACTGTTCTCCAATCACTAAAAGTTAGTACATCACAGTTTAAGCTAGAAGTTGTTTTTCAGTTTTTTTGCAGTTGAAAATTCTGAGATCTTTTTTCTATTTGCGACATTTGCTGACTTGTTTGCCTTTGCTATCTTTCTGCTTGGTTAAAACATCTTTTTGTTTGAGGTGTGTTTATCCTTTGCACTAAGTCATAAAAACCCCTTCTAACTAACACACCCTTTGCCTCCTTGGTTATCCAGTAAAACTGGCTCAGCAATTCTTTTCTTCTACATCAAAACTTGCTTCCATCTCAATTCCTTCTTCAGGTTCCACATTTAAAAATCTTTCTGCTAAGCATACATATCTGTGAGACTTTCATGTCCAACTTCCATCCTTCCCAGCACTGCAGTCTGAGGGCTCACAGTGTCCCGGTCGTGTCTCTCGCAGTGCTCGGCAGAGTGCGGGGACGGGATCCGCACACGCTCCGTGCTCTGCATGACCAACCACGTCAGCAGCCTGCCCCTGGAGGGCTGCGGCAACAACAGACCCGCGGAAACAACGCCCTGCAACAACGGGCCCTGCGCTGGCAGGGTCGAGTGGTTTGCTGGGGGCTGGACACAGGTAAGCCAGGCACCAAGTCTAACATGTCTGTTGCTTTTCTGCTGGTATTTCACTTTAAACTTGTATTTTGATGCAATCAAGACGTGTGCCATAAGGTATTTCTTCATCTCTCTAGAGTATTTTTTGGTATTTTAGAGTATCTAAATACTCTAGATACCAAATATAGCTATTTGGTGTCTAGAGTATTTCTCTCTAGAGTATTATTTGGTATTTTTCCCTGTATTTTACTGAGTTGATGTTCAATATTTTTCAGCATCTGCTGAGTTTTTTTTTACTTTGATGAAAAGAAAAAAAATTGCTTTTCTTCTCCTCTCTATCTTCATTTTTTGTTTTTCACTTACTGACCCAGTGTATTTATGAAAAGAATGGTGACAGAATTCTGCTCAGCATGTTCAGGTAAACACTAAAGCAGTGGATGTGAAATTCTTAAAGTAGAGCCTTTGTGATCGTGCATAAATGCAAGGAGATACATACCTGTACATATATATGCATATGACATTTCCAAAAGATAAGGAAGGCAAAAAGCAATGGCTAAATCTGAAAGTTAGCTTTGGTATTGCTGTACTGAAAGCCATTACAATGGGCAAAAGAACAAATTTTGGTTGGTGGCCTCTATACTGATACTCTGTCCTCCAAGTAAATTCTTCCCTTCACCCACATCCAGTAGCCTTTGTTCCAAATGAACATTTCTTCTGTCAAGTACAAAGGCGTTTCAGAAGGTGGTAACTCATGCCCAGGCACTTTTGTCCCTTTGTGTGGGCTCTGGCGTTGCCTGGAGAGCCTTTGGGACTGCTTGGTGGAGCTGTGCTGTTAGCTCACTGCATTGCACGTCCCACAGTCCTTCCAGGAGATAAGGAGCTGGAAGTTAAACTGGAACAGCTGAGGGGGAGATTACAGGGCTACTGCTATGCTAATGCTTTCAAGTGCAAGTAGTAATTATTGTGTATAAGAATATGTGTAACAATAATAACAAATTCAGATTTAAAAAATCTTTATCTGCAGTTCTAATAACAGATGAAATCCAGGCCTTGTTACTCCGACTGCTCCAGACAGTGAACAGGCACTCTGTACCCACTTTTGCTGTGCTGGAAAGGTGTTCAGTTCAGAGCATCCTGACTATTCTTTTAATTCACCTTTTTTCTTTACATGGAATTTAATTGTTTGATACACACAATCAAAGTCTTTACTGATGTGAAAGCTGTGCCTGACAACATCAGTTCTACTGGCCAAGCCCTGGCTGGTTTATCTGGTTTTTAATAGCAAGATGAGAGCAGTCAGCAGGGCAGAGCAGTGGGGAGCACTGAGGGCTGGCCTTCCCCTGCCAGAGCTAAGGTGGGTGTTCAGGTGGTGCCTTTAGGAGGAACCATTGAAAGAGATGTTTTGTGTTAAACAATGTGCAGTTACTGTACTTCCTGTAGAATTTATTCAGGTGCGTTTATCTTAAGATTCTTCATTCAGCTCAAGAGTTTTGTGGGAATCTGGTAAAGGGATTGTAAATTCTACCAAAAATATAAAGAAAATCCCCAGTGTTAGGAATGTTTCATTGGTTTAGGCTGGAAGAAGCCTTCTCAAAACCGTAGTCCTTTATGCAACCTAGAAACCAATATGTTGCAGTAATCATCTTCTAAAAGCCTTTTTACAAGTGCCAGAAACAGTATTGTGTGTGTACTTAACCTTTAAATGGGCAGTAGGAATCCAAGTGAGTCAAATTCACTTTTCAGAACTGGAACCAGCACTGCAAGTATCACATAGATACTTGCAAGCATGAAAATAACACCCTGGCAGATCAAGGCATTTTCTAAAAACAGCACAGAATGTGAGGCTTTGTAAAGCTGCAAAACTGTGCTTTAACCTTATAACCCCCCTTATAAAGTTCAGTGCAGCACATAGGAACCTGCTTCAGCAAGAAACAGTAACTCTGCTTATGGAGAAAGTGAGTTATGTGTCTCTGTTGATTGAGAAAATAAATACCAGTTTCTTTTATAGCTACAGGTAAAACTACACTTTGAGATTTTTCCAGAACTACACTTAGAGTCAAATGTCTTCTTCATTCAGATAATTAGAAATGTTTTGAGTCCATGGTAGCGTGTGATGTGGAGAAATGTTACTCTGTAAATAAGTTGAAGGACATGAGGAGAATAACAGATTTTCCCACTTTTTTTGTTCCCTGATACAGTGCTCTACTGAATGTGGTAGTGGAACTCAGCAGAGAGAAGTAATTTGTGTTAGGAAAACTGAAGGTAATTTTGAAGTTTTGAACCCCTATGAATGTTCATATTTGGAGAAACCTCCCAGCCAGCAGTCCTGCTACCTCAAACCATGTGGATCTAAGTGGTTTCATACAGAATGGAGCACAGTAAGTCTGTCATGTTTTCCTGTATCTGTACTTTGTTTGACGCATCTTTTTCTGTTTGTATTGAAAGAGAACACTATTTGCATACAACCACCTATTATGTAATTGATTTAACTTTGCATAGGAATGATAATAAAAAGAAAGTATACTCTTTGCCTGGTGGAACATAGAAAATTCAGGAAGTATCTTGACCAGAAAGAGACACTGCACAGTTGTCTTTGTATCATTGATGTCTTCTTCATAGAATCTTCCTGTTTTATAATGTTGGTTTGGCCCTTACAGTGAGACAATGTGGTGCACTTAGAAGTTCCTTTTAGATCTCTAGTTTCATTAAAATTAAGGAGTATTTAATAAAGAATGAGGCATGTATTCATTTCTTAGAGTCAGTTTGACCATAATATTTAACTGTAAACTCTTCACTATAAAACTTAGAACTTCAGTGGGAGAAAATGTGTTGTACAGCTTCATGTATCTTCAGTTTCCTCTGGAAGTAGACCAGCTACATTCACCACTGTGCCACAAAACACTTCCATATCATCTGTAATTTCCTATATCTGACATAGTTTATTGGTTCTCTACCAAAAGAAATCAACATTTTTGTCCTAAATGAAAATCAGGAAGTCCATTGTCATTTTGGAATGAGATGACTCTCTATTGAATGCAGTCACTTGGACCCTTTGTTGAGCCATAGGTCACATTGCCACTGGCAGCTCTGCAATGTGGATGCAGCTCAGAATGGTTTGTGTGAAGTGTGATGTGAGTCTTCGTTCCCTTCTAAGTGCTTAAGATCTCTGTAGACCTGAAGTCCTTATGGCTGGATGTGGAATAATGACAGTATTCCATACAGGCATGTAACAGGAGTAACTAGAAAAATCCATGTTCTGTTACTGTTGCACACGGCTGCCCTTTCAAATGTGGGTAAAGGTTGTACTTGAGGATGAAAAAACACTTTAAAAATATAATATTGAGACTACTTTGGTTAGTTTTTTACAATATATGATTTTGTAATCATGATAAGTTGTTTATGCAGTGTTAGGAAAAGAAATAATGATGCCAAAAAAGTCAGAAAGAAAACATTCTTACTAGTTTTGGGCTATTAAGGTTTTAATCGTAAATGACCCAGGTTTAATTAAGTTTTTGAGCATTAGGTCAAACTGGACAGTGAGCCAAATCTCAAAGACCTCACTCAGGCAAAATCCTTGGCCAATGGGGATTTGCTTCAGTATGGGCAGAAATGTGTAATAATTGGCTTTAAAAGTACCATAACAAGCAAGTACAAAAGTCTCTGGCTTCATAACAGATCCTGAAGGAGCACAGAAATATTTCCTTTAGAAATTCAAAGAAACTTACAATGGTTAGTAAAATCATTGTGCTGCAAGAAGTGAAAAATAATTGAGTGCTAGGGAAAAAAAAAAGGTAATTAAAAATATTCTTGCTTGTATTTAAATGGCAAAAGGGAGAGTGGAGGGCAGGGCAGTCAAGTAATAAAGTTCAGTGCAGTTAAAATCTTAAAGCAGAAAATGTGAGCACTATGGAAAGAGTAGATTTGGGAGATACATCTAAATGAGCAGAGAACAACCGGGCTAACTAAAGAAGCAGATGCTAAGTAATAAATTCAGAAGGGGAACTGTTCTAGCTTGATTTCAGTTGCACAGCATCCACTATGTTTATTTGTCTGGTTGTTGCTCCTGTGGTCAAAAATGTTGGGGAATCTTGAAGAATGTTTTCCCTGTATAATAAGGGCTTCCTAGGTAGAAAATAAAAACCAGTAGGGTGAAGTTGATAAAAGGCTGCAGTGATAGCTGGCTCTGGCATCAGGGTTCCCTTGTTTACTTTCTGTAATGACACATCTCCTATGGCCTTCATGAGCTCAGTTAATTGTTCCAGTGTTCCAAGTCCTGCGAAGGCGGCTTCCGGCTGCGCGAGGTGCGCTGCCTGTCGGACGACATGGCCGCCAGTTCCCAGTGTGACCCGCAGCTCAAACCTGAAGAGAAGGAACCCTGTAACACACAGGATTGTGTCCCTGAAATAGGTAAGGCAGAGGAAACTTCTGTAGTTATAACTGTGGAACTCCATCTAGTGGAGAAGTTATTTTGTAGTCTTCAGTAGTATATTTTCTTTCTTCAGTTCAGGGCTTTATTTTTACACAAAATACAGCGCTTTTCTGTGATTTAAAAGTAGGTTTCGAGTGAAAATGTTTTCCTTGTAATGTGTAAGAAACTGGCTTATTCTTGAAGTTGCTAAGAATGTGAGAGCTCTGCTTCTGTGAAAATGGTAAATTCAAAGTGTTATTCTGCAGCCTCCTTGCATTCTCCAAGGTTTCTCTTGGAAGAGTATTTAAAACAAACAAAAAAAAAGGATCATTATATACTGTATTTGGAAACAAGTTCTATAAGAACCAACAAAATTAAACTAAGGTATTAAGTGCAATGAAGCAATTGCCTTTTGTATATAGTAAATACAGGGATGCACTTAATTTGCATTGGGATTAGCCATTCATCTCATACAGATTTGATTTTTATAGTAATGAGAATGTCTAGGAAGAGAAAGAAGCAAGAATTTAGAGGCAGTTTTAACTCTGACTGTTCTCCAACAACTTTCAGTTGAGAATTATTCAACATACTTTAAGATAACATCAAAAACCTGGGGAAATGGGAATTCCTACGTTTTTCAAGTGCTTTATGTATCTTTATATGAAATCCTAAATAATCTGACTTATTTGCTTAGATAATATGTTTTAACCCGACAATGAATGTTGAAATACAGGTCCAAGGGTTTTTGCATGGTCAAAGGAAGAGAACTGATTATTTGTTGCTCTAGTACTGTTTCCCTTAGTTTCCTCTCTCTTCCTTTCTCTGCACAGATGAGAACTGCAAGGATAAATACTACAACTGCAACGTGGTGGTTCAGGCGCGGCTCTGTGTGTACACCTACTACAAGTCAGCGTGCTGTGCCTCCTGTAGCCGCGTGGCAAACAGACAGCCAGGCTTCCTGGGCCGCAGATAACACCCCCTGCCCTGCACAGCACCTCTGGCACTCTGCACCTGGAGCCTGGGCAGTGCTGCTGCTTGGACTGCAGCACTTGGAGTTTCCTAGAGATGGGGTTTATATTGCTGAGTGCATCGAGACTTTGGTTAAATCTCACACCCTTTCAGTTATTGTGCAGTTATCTCTTTTAGGATGTTTGTTGTAAAATCATGATTTTTTTAAAGCGTTCATTTTTATTGATACTATTATTTGCACCTGCTCATCAGATACTTATTTAAGGAACATACTGGCCTTAAGATTGTGAAATTAATGAAAACTAAAATCAATTGCAGGCAATTACTGAAGATAATTGACCAGTATGGATGCAGCTGCTCCATTACTGTCTGAGTGCTTACTTGGTTTTTTGGACTGCCTTAAGTTAGAGGACTAAATCGATGAAACATGCATGAGAAAAATGACTTCCCAAAGAACCAGACCCTTGAAAAGCATTTATCATCAGTTTCCTAGCACTCTAACATTTATTTTTAACTACTTCAGTCCATTCATAATAAATCACAGTCACTGTTAAGGTCTCTCAGTTGTCCTTTTAAGTGATGTCCTGTCCTTAGGCAGCAAATATATTCACACTTGACTGCCAGAAGGTGCCTTTATATTTAATTCATAAACTCATGAAGACACACTTTTATAATTTTGTATGGATTTTAAAATCTGTTCCCTACTGGAGTGACACTAGTGTCTAACTCTTCAAGTCTTTAACAGCTGCAGCTGTCAGTGAGACAGGTTAACCAGAAAGGTGAAGAGCCTTTGCTGGTATAAAAAGTGATTGTTCCCATTGGTGAGGTCTCTTTTCTGTAGGGGACTTATTTCAGAACTGGGATCTTGCCTAATTCTTGTCTCTGCACTATTGTTTAACAACTGCCAAACCAAAGTACTTTGTTCAGACCTAGACTGAGATGTTACCAGTTTCTGAAACAGCCACCAAAGGAGAGAGGCCTGTGTGCCTTAAGCAGTCTGTTGCTCCTGGTATCAGGCAGCAGTATGGGTCTGGAAGCTGAGTATCTGTACAGAGGGGATCTTAGCTACTGGCATTCTTCAGGTTTTGATCAGTTATTACAGCAGACTTGTCTTTTTTTGCTCAGTGTTTCATTGTGCAGATCTATTCATACCACTTGTTTCCTGTTACTTAAGAATGGCTGCAGACTTAGAGCTGGTTTTAAGTGGTGATTTTTCATTTCTGCAGTTACTGTACTAAGCCTTGAGACTTGCTGAAGGCAAATCATGTACTATGCAGTGCAGATGAGGTTTTGCATTATCTGCTTGTTCTCTAGCCTTTATTTGAGAGGTCTTTCAAATGTGTAAATAAGGCTGAGAGGAAAAAAATAAACACCTCTGCTTATTCAGCTGTTTATTACAGCATATTGCGTGTAAATTAGTGGTGCCCATCTATGCATCTGTTCCTGAAGTGCCTGATGTCTGAGTTGCAAAGCAGCTGTAATAATCTATGTTCAGTCAATCCCAGAGGTATGGTTAAGGTATCCTGCCACTGATGCAGAGCCATGTTTGAGCCTCATTGTGTGTCCTTTTCTTCTTGCTGCTTTGATGGAGAGGAACACTGGGAGGCAAAGGTTGCTGCGTGTGAAAGCAGTAACATCAGTTTATGTGCTGGAGCCACAGGAAGGTGGAATTCCTGTAGTCTAAAAGCTGCCTTGCATTGAGATTAACTTCTGAATGTTTTGATTTGGTCACTCTTGAAAAATATTTTTTGGATATGATGAACTACTACTGGCTACATGAAATGAAGTATTTCCCCTAAAATTTGAAGGTACTCTTTGTGACTGTAAATTGTTGTATGTCAGCCGAAAATGTCATTGGCTGTTTCTGTACACTTTGACTTGGGCTTTTTCACTGTAAATAATAGACATAAAGTTGTTAGAAACAGAAGCTCTAATTAGGAAACTTCAAGTTCATGAATCTTTCACAGTCCTCCTGTTTCCTTGTATTACAAAGATTTATCCACGAAGATAACTTACAGATTTGTTATCATATTATGTTCCTTAGATTCTTGACCAAAGAATGATATGGATAAAGTGCAGTGTAAACAGCTCTGGAATCCAATACTTCTGAATACAGATTTTCATCTGTGTATCTCATTGCAGCAAGTCTTGACATACATTATATAATTTTTTCTGTTATCCCTTTCATCCCAAGGAAGTGTTTCCTGTCAGCTTGAGGGAAATACCTGTTCCATAAAAAGGCTTCCTGGAAACCTCAAGGCAAAATGAGATGCAGAGGGAATCTGGTTTGCAGTCATAGAACAAATTCTTCTTGCACATGCTTTGGCTGTGAGACCATCAGTGACTCAGCACATAGATAGATCCCCCTGTTTTATAAAATCTGATATTTTGCCCTGGAATATATGGCCATTAGCTTATTTTACAAAGATGATCATCTTGTAGGCTCTGTTAAGCTGCCACTAATGTAAGCAGTGTTTGTGAGAGCTAAACACATCTAAATTGTGCAGCTTTTGAATTGAAGGTAGTGAGCTATGGTTATGCAAACTGTACTTTATTTTTAAGTAAAGAGACATTTTTCAGATGTACCAGATTAAAAAGAAGAACAGTTTTACTTAATTAAATATCTAATGGTAAGTAAATATTCATGGGAAGTAAAGTACCAGAATGCTGCTGAACCTAATCATTTATCATCTCTTCTCATGTGTCAGCATTATTAAAATAGTTGTTCCTGCAAAATGAACTAATGAGCCCTTTTCATCAGCACTTTGATATACCAATATTGTCTGCACAAGTGCTGTGCTAAGACTTCCCCATCTCACAAAGCACGATTTTGAAATTGTGCCTATGGCAAGTGTTTGCTCTAACAGAGCAATGCCCCAACTTAGGATGATGCCTGCAGGGGATTTGACTTTATTTTCTGTAAGTCAAAGGTGGCCTTAATGAATGTAGTATTAGACATAGAGCAGATGTGAAACCAGGTATAAGTAAGAAATTATGTGTATTATCAATTGCAAATATCAGTTATGCACACTTCTGATTTTTAATGTTTTCATTTCTTTTTCTGACAATTTAACAGTCAAAAAATGCAGAATGGTGGGAAAAAATGCTTCCTTGCCTTGAAGATTCCTTATGCAATCCAGGAAGACCAGAGTAAGTTAGATACTTTATTGAAAGAGTCCAGCTGCTTATGGGGTAAAATCTGCACACAAATTCCATATCTTACACACATGCAGCTGGCCAAAATCACCTTCATACAGAGCAGGCCCTGTGTCTCAAAGCACTTTCCATTTGGAATGGAGGATTCCTGGTGCAGTTGTTTATCAAATTACCAAGGGCTTGTCAGGGTTTGCTAGCTCCTGTGCAGTGTCATCTTCAAGCATATGGAGGTACAATTCCTTGTGTACACCAAAAGCACACCAAATGTGAGAGACTGAATTCATGGAGTCCTCCCTTCCTCTCCCAGAGGGTGGTGTAAAAGTGTGAGGGTTGCTTCTGTGGGAATGACCCAGTGGATGTGACCTGTGGCCAGCAGCGAGACAGTCAATGTTTGCTTTGGTGTCTGTGACCTTCAGGCCCAGGGCTCTGAGCAGGGCGGGCTGGTTAGGCAGGGCAGAGCTGGTCAGGAGGCAGAGCAGGGCTGGTCAGGAGGCAGGGCAGAGCTGGTTAGGCAGGGCAGGGCTGGTTAGGCAGAGCAGGGCTGGTCAGGAGGCAGGGCAGGGCTGGTCAGGAGGCAGGGCAGGGCTGGGGAGTGCCCCTGGCTGTGCTGCAGGCCTGCCAGCCTTGCAGCCCACCCCTGCTGGATGGCCACAGGCCCACTGTAGGACCATCTCAGAATCCCTGCACAGGGAACTGCTGTCTTCCTCATTACACACATAAATATCCTGCTTTTCCCCAGTCCTTCAGCAAATAGAGAATTTTGTGTATGGTTTAATGTTATTGCTTAAATCCCAGTGTTATGGCAATGTGGTGCAGTCTTGTGTCAGTCATATAGTCTGTAGTCCTGGACAGTACCAGTGGTCCTCACTGAGGGAGGTGCTCCAACAGCCTATGGCTCGTGCAGGGCTTGTACAGGAGGCTTGGCTTCCTCTCCTTATAACATGTACCACTGTAAGTAGTAAAATGTGCCTTTTAGGGCTTTGTTTTTCCCATCCTTGTCCTGACCTATCTCCCTTTTACACCAACATCAATGTTTCTCCTCTCCTTCTTATCTCACTTTCATCCCTTTGTCCTTTGGATGACAGTATTAAATTACTGAAAATCCTGAACTGGCCTTTGGTTTATAAGAATCTGTGTTAGAAATAAGCCCAGCTATTAAGAGAGCTGTATTTTTGCCAGCCCCTGGATTTTTGTGTCTGTGCATATCCATGTTGGCTAGTTTAAAGTGCACAGTAGTAAAGGACATACTGGAATTAATTCCTGTGCAGTGAACCTGTGGTTGCACAGCTGTTGAAGTCTGGAGTGGCCCTTTATTCTCATATGTAAGATCTATTGTAAGAAATAGTTATGGTCCTCACCAAGGAAAAGCCATGTGTTTACCTGGTTTTCTTGAGACTTGGTGTCTCTGACTTCCTAGGAGCTGTTCTGTGTATTGGGCAGATAATTCATGTGCATGCCTGGAATTGGAACAAAAACCATGACATTTTGAACATGAAAGTAAACTTCATTTATTTCTAAACTTACAGAATGTTTGTGGGAGATTAAATTAGGCATTGATTAGAAAACAGAGTAAAATAATTACTTCTACATCAGAAATGAAAAATCATCCACCTGACATTTTCAATATATTTTAAAGCAAACTTGTAATCATTATGATGTTTCACTGTGGACAAAGTTCAGACTAGGGGAAAGGGAGAAAATTCTGTTTCAGAGAATTCATAGCAGACCTGAATTTGGTTCCTTACTTCTCACCTTTTAATAAGCAGAAGTTCAGAGGAGCAAGAGTACCCAGTTTTCCATATCCCCATGTACAGTAAGTACCATCATACATGGAGAGGAGGGGAGCTTAATTCTGATGGATCATTGACCTTTCAGCACATCAGTGCTGCTGACCTGTTTTTCCACACTGTGTTTGGGTCTCTTGAGACCAGTGGCCTTGGCAGGGTTGGGTACATACGAGCTTGTGAAGTCCTATCAGAGTCACTCAGGATCTACAAAGAGGATCAGGAAGGACAGGAGACAAAAAAAACCCTGACTTTTTTTTAATATGTATAAAATTGTCTATTTGACCCTCATAATTGATTTTGGCAGAAGGATATACTTTATTATAACTTATTTTGTTGTTATTTGTAAATACAAGATGTCTATGGGAAATATGTAATTCTGAGCTGTGTCTATGGAACAAGCCACTGCACCAAAATATTTCAAATATTTAGAGTAGGCAGATTTTTTTATTAAAAGGGACCTAATATGTATTTATTTACGTATACCATTCAAATTTTGTCCAGCTTTTTCATTATACTAACCCATCTTTTAGGGAATTTTATAGCACAGGTATTACATATATATTTTTGTATATATGTCATACTGTAAATCCATAATACAATTTTCTAAACTTTCTGATTAGCCAGTTCCTTGAGTGAATTAAAGGGGGAGAGCATAAGCAAATTGCTTTCTGACTCGTTCAGGAATATATATCCATGGCAATGTACCTGAACCAGAACTGTACAGCATCCTTTTCATATTGTATACATTTTCTCTTTGATGAAAAAATGTTAACTATTTTTGTTTATGACTAATTTATTTTTTATTATTGTGGAAAATAAAGTAACTCAAGATGAATATATGTGACATGTTTGGGGTTTTTGGTTGATTTCAACTTGAGTTTCGTGAGAATTATTTCTTTGATCTCTGCAGCTTCCAGCGCCTGCGCCGTTCGCGAGGAGCGGCAGGGGCAGCAGCGCCCGCACGGCCGCCAGGGGGCGCCGTGAGGGGAGAGCCGTGAGGAGGAAGCCGTGAGGGGGCGCCGTGAGGGGGGCGCCGCCAGAGGGAGCCGTGACGGGAGAGCCGTGACGGGGGAGCTGTGAGGGGGCGCCATGAGGGGAGAATCGTGAGGGGAGAGTCGTGAGGGGGGCGCCGCCAGGGGGTGCTGTGAGGGGAGAGCCGTGAGGGGAGAGCAGTGACGAGGAAGCCGTGAGGGGGCGCCGCCAGGGGGTGCCGTGAGGGGACGCCGCCAGGAGGCGCCTTCCGCCCGCCGGGCTCTGAGGGGACGGGACTGACGGGGCCGGGCCGGACTGGCCGTGTGGTGTCCTCGCTGTGTCTCACGGTGTCCCCGCAGTGTCCTCGCTGTATTTTCACGATGTCCCCTCGTTCGGGAGCAGATCAGTGAACACAGGGCCGGCCCGGGCCGCATTCCGCGCCTAGGGGCATCGCGTGTGGGGAAACAGTGTCCGTGTCCCTCTGTGGGAACACAGAGGTTTTAAGTGTTTAATAGCCATGGAGGGGCAAAGAGGGGGGGTTTCTTCGATATTATTGATTGGGTTTTTTGAGTTTTTAGGTTTTTAAAGTAGAGCTTGAGGTATTAATCTATAAAATTACTAAATTATGCAATAATAAATGCCTTGCTCTTCCTCCAGCCATTCTTTACATTTAAAATAAAGCTTCAATGTAAAATTAGGAGCCCTGTAGCAGCTGCAGTACTTCCCTGTGGTGATTTGTCCGAGCCCTCAAGCCTGAAGATCCTGAGGATTCCACATCACCAGATGATGCTGGTTTCAGGGTCCTTGCTTTCTCTGATACCTGCAGAGTGGACCTCTAAGGTAAGTATAGAGGCTGTAGACAAAGTTAGAAGAGTTGTGTGCAACCCTGCACTGAGCAGTTGTAGTTGTTGAGTGCAAATGCTTGTCTTTAATGCCTGTCTCCATACCCTATTTTCATGCTAAGCTTTAATTTGTTGGCTCAGAATACTTTTACACAAACCATTTTACATAGTTATTGCTAGTCACAGTCTTAAAAGGAAATGGAAACTTTTACAGAAACTTTATTGATGAGGTAAAATTCAAATAATTGCTCTTAAATGAACCCAGAAACTTGATTTTGCTTCTCCACTGATGCAAGTTCCAATAAGGTACAAATATGGAAAAGGCAGCGCTGGCCTCCTGTCCTGTTTTCAGGTGTAACTAGGCTGACCTGATCATTGATTAAGAATTAGCTGCTGCCTTCAATCTGGTTGGCTTTGTTGGGGATTTTTTGAGGTGCATAAACAGAGTGAATGTAGCATAACATCTGTTATAAGTGTGAAGCTCCTGACAGACTAGGTAAGGTTGGAAGGCATCCAGAGAGACCAGCTACTTCACCCTCTCTACTCATAGCAGTGTCACCTACAGCAGATTGCCCAGATCTGTGTGCAGTCAAGTTTCCAATGTCATCCAAAGGATGGAATTTCCTGTTTATTTTTGAGTTTGTGCCCTTTGCCTCTTTGCAGTCCTGTCACTGCACAGCCCTGAGGAGCACCTGGCTCCATTGTTTTCATTCCTTCGCCTCAGTTCTTCAGAAAGTTGAAGATAAGCGTTCCATGGTTTCTTTCTCTGAGCTGTGAAGACTGTTAATACTGGAATGTTGTGTTGCCATTGTGTTGTCTTCAGCCAGGTGACTTCTACAGTTGAAATGCCTGGGAAAATTTTAGGTCCAATCTTGGGATCCAAAGCAGAGATTTTAGTATTGAGTTGAAGCAATTATTGAGTGGATGAAAAGAAATGAGTGCATATAAACGTCTGGCACAGCTTTGTGCACAGTAGATAATTTCTGTTGTATTTCCTTTGTTACTCTGGGCTGTTTTGTTTTGTTTATTCTCTGTTACTCATTTTTGCTTGGGGTGTTTTGAAGGAAAAGTGAATGTTTGAAGAAGAAAGACTCCATCTTTCAAAGGAGGAAAAGTCCAATAGGGTAAATCAGGAACCAAAAGTAAATTTGCCCTAATATTAAAATAACTTTCATACTTCATTCCTATTTATTCATTGTATGATTTTGAGTAAGGCATAGGAAGGTACATATTTAAAGTGCACATAATCTGAAATTAATGTAATGCGCCTGTACTGAAATTGGAATTATTAGGACATATGCACACAAATGAATCAAAGAAGCCTACCAGCAACTGAAGAAAATCCCATTGTGTGCTTTCAATGCCATTGGTGTCCAACTGTAAAACCGTGAGTTCAGTTTGTACCAGGCCGCCTGTGTGGGGTTTGACCTCAGGCAGAGTCTGAGCCCTGCCCAGCCGCTCGCTCTGTCCCTGCCGCTGCCGCGGGGGCGGAGCCGGAGGAGTGACAGTCGGAAACCTCCCCGGCTGAGATGGCGTCAGCTCAATAAAGCAAAAGCCACATGCACAAGCAAAGCAAGGGATTCATTCGCCTCTTCCTACGGGCAGGAAAGTGTTCAGCCATCCCAGGGCTGTGTCCTCCGCCAGCTTCTTGTGCCCCTCAGCCTCCTCGCTGGCAGGGTCATGTGAGGAGCAGAAAGGGCCTTGGCTCTGCTTCAGCACTGCTTAGCAGTGATGGAAACATCCCTGTGTCACCCATGCTGTTTCCAGCACAAATCCCAGACATATTCCATACTAGCTGCTGTAGAGGGAGTTAGCACTATCCCGGCCTCAGCC